TAGCCCCATTGTGCCTTCAGTATAAACAAGCACAAGGTGCAATTGTCTAGAAATGATCAGGCTAAAGTAAATTGTGTGTACTGCTACACTCCAACTGAACTCTATTTAAATATTGACTAAATGTTAATTATTGAAAGCATCACCAGCACCAAGAGATTCATTGTCCAGAATGTAAAATAACTGGCTGCAATCAACATTTATTTTCATTATGTATTAATGTCAATTTCTGTATGTTTTAATGAATCAATCATCAACACTGTAGATGATTAAGTCTACATTAATAACGGATAACTGTGTAAAACTGTCTTCCATGGAAACGTCCCAAGAAATGTGGGCTTTTACCCAATGAACCAAATGTTTCTAGTTTCTCCTTCCACACCCTCTATGACTCATTCGCTAGTAATCTGAAAGTGAGTTCGCCAGGTCTAACAGACAGATTTAACTGCCCCAATGGGGCTCAAACAAGGGAACCTCTCCAACCACGTCAGGCTACACAGGCAAGGAGGGAGATTTCAAAACACCCCAGCAGAGAGAGCGTTCAGTCATGCAAGATGACATTTTTATAGCTATGCATAATGCCACTGCGAGAGAGTGACTTCTTTACTGCGAGGAACACTGCATAACTATATTTGAAGTGACAGGGCAAGGGATTTGTTTCAACACAAAGCATCAACACCCATTCAATCCTGTAGTCGCGGGCCTTAATTCAATGTAACAAAGCAGACATAGGCGTTAAATCTGTATTATTCTGCATTGGAAACATATATAGATTCAAGATTCAAGAGGTTTATACTGAAAGTGGTAAAGACATCAGACTGAGGGAATGTGTGACTTAACAGGTGAAGGCTCTGTTGTGACGATTATAAGTCACAGGTTTTGATGTTTAGAGCTGCGACCAACATGGTCATTGTTGGTCACATTGTTTCTCTCAAAATGGTGTCTGTTCCCAGTATGTGTGCATGATGTTTGGGGGGGGGGTGGCAGCTGAAGCTCCTCTGTCTATTTTTGGACACAGGAAGTAGTGTGATGTGTCAAGAG